AAGCCAGCAAAACATCCACGAAACAAAGAAAGGTCTGTCACAGCCAAAAAATACAGACACGCCGCTGGCACTAGAGGCACAGCATGGCCGCCTAGTAACGGCCCCGACCACTGCCGCTCGACCTGACCGGAAAAAAACGTAGCAGGAAGCTAGCAAAGTCGTAGTATATATCGTCACAAACAGAACTGCCCGGTAAACCGTAGGCAGAGAGGGAGAAGAGGACAACAAACGAGGGGCTGTGGCAAACTGTTTCGTATATATATATTCATACACACACACACACACACACGCAAAGAACGCAGTACAGTCCACCTATTCTCCTTCATGTTTTTCTTTCTCTTTGCCGGCAGCTCATTCGCTTGCTCATTTCTGTCCAGGATCATGTGCATGTCATACCAGTACAGTGGACACAGTGCCCAATTTCTCTTTCATTTTCAGATCGGCGTTCCACCGAAAGAGCTGCCTGTGGGCGGTAATAGCCAAAGCGTTCAAGGGCATGGCAGCTCCACCGACAACAAAACCAATCTCTAAAACGTATGATCAATGCTAGAGATAGGCCCGTGCGCACTCTGCATGCTAGGAGCGCCTGCAGACAGCTCGCCAATCAATAGTACAGCAAGTTTAACCGTGCACATTGCAGTTCAACTACGAAAGAAACATGCAGTCGGTGGTACAAGCGCACCAGGTTTTTACTGAACATTTGAGGAAGTGATTGGCAAAATGGTGATGCTGTCACTATGGGCACGTTACTTTGAGGAAGATGTATTCACTGCGATATTTAATCCTGTGGATCTCTCGATTGTTGAATTGTGAACGTTTTTCGTCTTTTGTTTTTTCTTTTGGGGTAAGTTCTGTTGTGGCACAAACGAGTTTGAAAAGGGCAACAAAATCACACGCGGGCATTTTTTCCCTTTCCCCGTCTAACACCACGGCTGATCCCTGTAGTTTTGACACCTGGCCTGATACGGCCATTGGTACTTTCATTGCTTTTTCGAACTTGGCACTGGTGCATTTTTTTTTTCTCATACTCAAAATAGACATCACTGTACTTGGCCCTTGTTTAGAAACTACGTCTGAGTCATGGTTCGAGTTTCGAAAAGGCAAAGAAAGCACTAAATGGAGATTTGTCACTGCGGCAGTTTGGAACAAGCAAAAATAGGGGCAATTCTTTTTGTTGTTTTTGAGCACAGGCCCTTTGCATTTGTTGCCTTTTCCTGTATTAGAGAGTGCTGCGCGGCATTTGTTGCCTTTTCCTGTATGCGTTTCTTTTGCTTATTCGGAACTCATTTTCATTTGCCACGTAGTTCGCTCCTTAGTTTACCTCCCGCCAGATGAGTTATCCCGCAATTCGTAATGCGAACATCAAGTGGCTCTTTGGTTCAACTCCGGCCAAATGAGTTATCCTGCAATTCGTAACACGCACATCAAGTTCCTCTTCCTCTTCCTCTTCTTTAGACTAAAGAAACTGGGGTGTCGTCCCTATTTGTCACTCGGACTTCAAATACAGCCAGCCCTTCACATGGCTCCAATGGCTGCGAAAGCTGGCCGCACATGGAAACCTCTCTCTCTCTCTCTCTCTCTCTCTCTCTCTCTCTCTCTCTCTCTCTCTCTCTCTCTCTCTCTCTCTCTCTCTCT